AGTCAATTCAACCCTTTTTGGCCCCACCCATCAGCCCCTGGGGGTCAGTCAGGGCTCATATGTACATACTATCAAACTGCTACCTCATTCTGATAATGCTAACCCAAAATGAATTACTTCCAATGGAAATTAAACAAATGTTGGTCCAAAATGTGATTTCCCTATATAAACTATAGTAAAGTTTACCCCCTCCCCAGGGGGAAACGTGAGACCCCAGGGTCAAGAAATTCACAATTTTGGTAAAGCACCTTAAGACCCTTCCATATATGAAGAGTATTTGATTCTACCATATCTGGGTCTTGAGAAGAAGATTTTTGAAATTTTAGTCAATTTGACCCTTTTTGGCCCCACCCCTCAGGCCCCTGGGGGCTTGGGGCTAAACTATTTTTGTTGACCTTTGTCCATGGAAGGTCCCTGCAAGATTTCATTGAAATTGGTTCAGGGGTTTTGGAGAAGAAGTCGAAAATGTAAATTGTTTACGGACGTATGATGGACGACGACAGACAAAAGGCGATCACAATAGGTCACTTGAGTCTTTGTCTCAGGTGACCTAAAAACTGGTACCGCCACCAAAGATGTTAGAAAACTAGCTATGTAGGGCACACAACTGAATGTACAAAACCTTTTAATAATCATAACACATTTCTAACAGTATTAATATGCTAAACAATACATTTGGTTAGGAACACTTAATAAATTTTAACAGACTCAAAGCATCATAGAAGGGCATAGTTACCTGATATTTGGTGTATCTATTACATACTAAAGCATCATATAAATTACAGTTTGTACTTTTGTCATGAGAATTATTGCTGATTACAACACCAGGTTATCAAAATTATTGTACACATAAGAATATCAGTGTATGTAAAACAAATTTAAGTAAGTTTTCATTAATAATTTTGTCCTATTTTCAAATATTTGTGTTTCTCTCGTTGATCTGAAACAAGTAATATTGTATTCCATCAACATCAAGTTATCAACACAATTTTTATTATCTTTGTAAATTATTACCAGACAATTGAATATTTAAAAAAAATAGTATTTTAGGCTCATCTGGGTTTAAACAACTGGGCCAAAGTTTGTTTCACATATAAACACTCAAGATTCATACATAGCTGAATAAATTAATGACATTTAGAATTCACGCCCTTTTGATGAAAATGACCAATAGACTTCAAATACTTCATCAGGACATTGGAGAAGAGTCATTGTCCAGAAATAATGAGTAACTGATATAATGGAAGAAACACCTTTCTTTGATGTTTTGAGTCTGCATTTAAATTAACACAAGAGAAACTACACCAAACGACGACAATATGCAGATGAGGTAATGAGGGAGTGACGGATACCTCTCTTAGGCACGGCCGGCCCGGTACGCCGTTTGGGTTTAATGACTGAAAATGTAACATGAACGAGACATGGAAATGACATAGTGAACAAACACACGGCCAAGAAGGCTGAACTAAACGATAAACATGTGTGTGATGATGATAAAACTATAATGACTTATATAAATGACAGCTTGAAAAATGAAAGTTGCAGGGTTTTTTGAGGGGAAATGTGTAATTTATTATAGCGCTTTACAATGAAGATCGTAATATCTTGTTTTCTTTAATCTAATTTGTAATATCAAATATATATAGATTGTAATTCATTTCAAGCATGTAAAATTTCATATGTGAAGACTTGCAATCACCTTTTTCGGTTTTGCCCAATATTCTAATCACTGATCAGTTCTGTACTCTGTAAACATTACTGTTTGTTCCAGAGCCACTGACCTTGTGATCAATGGACTGACACTAACACTGACCTTTCCAATCATCAGAGCAACTCTAATGCGTCTATAATAACCTTTATTTAGAACCATTAGACTGGACAAAGCTATGTACCGCGTCCCACTGACCTTTCTGACCACTGGAGAGACTTTTCCTGTAGTCTGTCAGTATTGTCTCGGTGATGGACTCAAACCCTGGAAGTGGGTCTGCTGTCGACGCTAGGCCTACATCAGAGGTTGCTGTGGTGCTTACCCACAAGTCATGGGTCCGAATATCTTCCTTGTTGTTCTGAAGACAAAATATATTTCATGAAATATGTGAAACAAGTAAAACCTTGATCACCTGAATAAATGTAGCTTGGTTTTCTATGACTTTTAAAATGACATTAATACTAACATTTGATAATTGAGGGAGTGATTTTATGACGGTCCATAAAAGTGAAATCAGTATGGTAGCCATTTTGTTTTTTTCAGAATGTGGTTATGCTTTTGCTTGTCTAGAACTACATTATGAGTACAAATCTGCTCGTTCCATAACCTGTTACAGGCTGCAGCCAGGCTTAGATGCTTTGAATCTTTTCTTTCTCTTTTTACGAAACAATGTCAATGAATCATAATTAAAATCATCCATCACCCCAGTCAAACATTCCTCCTTTAGGAAATTCCTTAACTTAACATTTTGCCATAGAAATCATTGTGCAAGTTCAGGAAAATGTCCAGCAACGTTTTTCAATGGAAAACACTTTCAGTTAAAGTATAATTATTTTATATATCTTAAGTCTAAAGAATCTTCATGACCCTTGGGTCAGGTGTCCAATTCCTGACCTCTAGTTATGACCTTGACCTTGTTAAAATGTCACCTGGAATGTGCCATTGACTGATGACCCTTCAGTCTATGATCCCTTCTCTTCTAAGTGATCCACACCGTTCTAAGATTATTGGAAAATTTTACAAAAAGAAGGTAAGTTACATACATGTACCTTGGAGGGTTTCTTCCGTAAGCAGCAGAAAACAGCAAAGGTGATAAAGAAAAGCACAAGTCCGACCCCGCACAATGACACGCCCAGAATAAACGGCAGACTCTGGCTCAGCGCTAGGTTGAGGAAATACAAACAAATCATTAGCAACTTCCCCAAATTCTCAACGTAATCTGTCATGTCCTCAGAGAACTGCTCCAAAACAGCACACCAAGTCTCATTCATCGTTGTCAAAATCTAGCTGGTCTTTTATACTTTCATGTTTTCTTGTTGCAACTTAAAAGACTTGACAAAACAATGACAATTCCCTAACAAGAAATTAATCCTTTATGTTGTTGACAGAAACTCCAGCTCTATCACAGTAAACGTAAGATGTGATTTTACATGCACGAGACCAGAACTTCCCAATGATGATTAACCAAACCAGAGAAAGCTTATTATAAGTTTTATAGTCATTAGAGTTTTAAGAAGGGTTATTCCCAAATTGTATCTATATATAGAACACATTCACTTTCACTGTATATACAAACTGTACAGACATCATATCTTAATTACATTATGAAATACACACAAGAGCCTTTTTCCTGTCAGAAATTTAAGACCCCATTGCACGCATGGCCACCAAAGTACTAGGATTTATACAAGTCTGTTTGTCATCTCCCTGTTACTAAAAATACATACGTTTAATAACAGTAACAATAACCGTTCATGATCAGTATGTCTTTAAGGAAACAAGTTTCTTGAGAAACATGTACTTCTTTGCATTTCCTAGCATTAAATTGTGCAAACTCATGGGGGGTTGGGGGTTGGGGGGGGGGGCTTTCAGCCTCTCTACTGTCATGTGTCTGCATATACAAACATTTTGATTTTACCAAGGGCTATTTATTTTCTCTTTCATTATTAATTGATATTTCAAATTTAATGTACATTGAATATATATTGTGCAGAAAGAGTTCTATTCTATACTGTTGAATTCACAGTTTCATGGTAATAACTAAATTGTAATCAAAGTGCCCATGGCACTGGAGGATTGGCGGCGTGAGTGAGTGTTTTTCTACAGATTTTATCCTGAATGCGCAGGCATCTATAATTCATGTGGAATGAAACAGAACTTGGCCTGTCTTGCTCCTGTTACAAAAGCGACATAACATTTTTTTTACATTTTACTTTATGACTGTAGACATAAAATACCCAAATAAATATCATGCATAAACAATAGTACAATACAATTTCAATGTCCCATTTTTACTACACACTTTATATTCTATACTTTGATTTGACTACAGTATGGTTTTATCTGGTATGGTTGTAACATGGTAAACATTATCAAATTGATACTCTTAACATTTATGGTAAGTTTCATTATGCCGTTTGTAAATGTTTATTTGCCCTTAACATTGTCAGGGATAATATGGGCCTATTTCAGTAAATTCCTCTTCAAGGTTTCCTATAAGAATTGAATACAGATAGTATTAATATGGTAGCCCAATGAAGTCATTCACAGAAAAGACTGAAAATAATTTGTCCTGGTTTTTTCAGCCTTTAATTCCTAATCTCTATTTCTATAACAATATCAACGTGATCAACCAATAACAAAATTATTTTGACTCAGTTGTAATATCAGTGACCTTGACCTATATCTATCTACCTGTGACAAAATGACCTTGACCTACCTGTAGCAGCTGTGGGTGGCACGCTGGGTGCTATACTTGAGGTAGGCCCCAGTGGTGGTAGTACAGTTGTTGACATGGGGTTCGTGTTGGGTATATACATAGGAGTAGCCTTGGACGCACTCTGTATCACAGTCTTGCTTGGGGTCACAGGGGATAAAGGGGTCATAGGGGGCAGGGGGCGTACCATTTTGGGAGTGGTAGTGGGGGTCAGTCCTGCACCCATTGTCTTGGAGGGGGTAATGGGGGCAGATGACTGAGCATCAGACCCTTTGTTTGGGGGTTTGAGGACAGTTTTACCACTGCTAAGCTGGTCCAGTGTATTACTAGATCTGAGTACGGGGTCAGTTGATGATGCAGGACCTGTCGGTACAACTGGTGTGGTCACCGCCACAGAGTTCAAGCCTTTTGATGAGTCTGGGGAATACGACGTGGACAACAACACAACAGACCGCTCAGGACTTCGCTTCTGAACACTGGACAATTGATTTGATACAGACAGTTTGTCACTATAAACATCTGAGCTCAAAGGGTCCTTGAATGTGGGCGATGACAGTGATGACAGTGATGACAGTGATTTTAATGATGATGTGACAATGTGTGATGAAGAAGGCGGTGCCGCCTGAGTCTGTCTCATAGCACTGGGGACTAGACCAGCAGACTTGGAGATCTTGGCTGAAGATGACAATGCAATGTATTTTGTTGGTGAAGGTGACGCCTGACCTGCCATCTTCAGTAAATCAGATGATGTTTGTGATGTGGATGCAATATTTGTTTTCAAAAAAGCATCTGAAAGACTTGTTTGCTTGTTGGAAGACGAAGGCAAGGATACAAATCTCGTTGTAGCGCTCTGATGTGTCCCAGAAATCCTATCATAGCTACTCTGTAATGAGGGTAGGGTTGAAACGGAATCAGGGGTAGACAACTCTGACCCAGACTGGGAGAACTGAGTCTTTGTCGTGGCTAGTCCTTTGTCAGAAGATTTGTTGTCAATCACAGAAGTTGAAGTCACGTCCATTGCCTTGGTGACGCTCTCCGACGACAGAATCACCATTTTCGTTACGCTCATACTCATTTTGGTCCCTGTACTTCCTTGTGTTTAACAATACTGTGTTTATGTTAAATTCCTTACATTGCAGTTGAATTACACCAACACAGATAACTGTACACACAACATGTAGACTGTACACATGTAAGGCCTACACAGCACTTCATCACTCTCACCAGTAAACTCCATCAGAATCCCGAGATATACTCCCGGGGAAGTAGCAACTTAACCTTCCGTTCTACATTCATTATGAAACACACCCTTAACAAGTCACAAACATAAACTTTTCTCCAATATGAATTTCTGTAAGTGACAGTAACACAGTATGAATTTCCTGCAGTGACAGTAACACAATTTGATAAAAACACACAAATATAATTTCTGATATACAAATCTGCTGTATTAGTAACTATTTCCTTGGGTTTGTTTTACATCCCATATCAAATGTGTATCCAAAATTCTTCCTTGAAAATCAGATTATTTACTCTTACGTAATTAATCCACACAGTAAATGAGATCGTTTCCTCCCGTACTTGTTACTATTTAGTTGCCCTGTAAGTAGCTTTAAGTCAATTTACCTATATCCTCCACAGTCTTTAACGATCATTTAAAACAAGGATGTAAACCTGTTTAATTACAATCCTCAGGTTCCAATACATGAGCCAGGTACAAATCCTGATATTCAATAAAAGAGGTGGATGTAGATCTTAGATCCTGATAGCTGTAGATCTTAGATCCTGATGGCTGTAGATCTTAGATCCTGATGGCTATAGATCTTAGATCCTGATGGCTGTAGATCTTAGATCATGGTGGCTGTAGATCTTAGATCCTGGTGGCTGTAGATCTTAGATCCTGGTGGCTGTAGATCTTAAATCCTGGTGGCTATAGATCTTAGATCCTGATGGCTGTAGATCTTAGATCCTGATGGCTGTAGATCTTAGATTCTGGTGGCTGTAGATCTTAGATCCTGATGGCTGTAGATCTTAGATCCTGGTGGCTGTAGATCTTAGAATCTGATGACTGTAGATCTTAGATCCTGGTGGCTGTAGATCTTAGATCCTGGTGGCTGTAGATCTTAAATCCTGGTGGCTATAGATCTTAGATCCTGATGGCTGTAGATCTTAGATCCTGATGGCTGTAGATCTTGGTTTCCTTAGATTTACAATCGGTCACGGTGATTTATAATCGGGGTTTCCAATACAAGAGGTGGTTGCCCTCTAGGTGTACAAATCGGGTAGAAGAAACCATCACCCTGGAGATCATGTTGTCCAATATAAGAGGCATTCACTGTAGATTTACAATCCAGTCATACACAGTAGATTTAAAATCAGGATTTCCAGTACGAGGTCATTGCCCTGTAGATGTACGTTTCCTGTGTCCAATACTTTATCAACAAAGATTATCCTTGACACTGCATCCAGCTTATCAATAGTATTCCCACTCTTACATAACTAATATCACAGTCTCTCACTAACTTTTTTTTTTTTCCATTAATCACAAATCACTTATCTACAATTTCAAAGGTTTTTAAATGCTGAATGAGGAACTTTAAGTTGATAAGTTCAATTAGCAGACCTTGAACATTTCAGTACACAGTCTCTTCTATCCTCGGTACACAGTCTCCGTCTATCCTCGGTACACAGTCTCCGTCTATCCTCGGTACACAGTCTCCGTCTATCCTCATTACACAATGTCCGTCTATCCTGAGTGGATACTTCGGGGCCTCAATACGATCAGGTCTATGTGTGATGACCGGACATATAACTCGATGTTTGGATGAACGCTGTCCGGGATATGTCTGTCCTGTCGAGCGTACCGGTCCTCAGACTCTCCCGAAGCAGTTCCCGACTAGAGACTCAGTAAACAAGTAAATGTATGAAGGGTTTACACACAAAGAACCTCCGTGCTGGGACTTCCGCCACTACAATCCACACTCACGCTATGATTCAGTTCCTGTAAAAACACAGAAAAAAAACAAATAATGTCCGTGTGTGTGTGGAAGTCGGTAGGCTAGCTACATCATCATAAACTATATACAAAGTCTATACCAATGTAGGTTAATTAATATAACTGCTGTTTAGATCTGGCAGCAAATTGTTCTGATACATGCCAAACAATTTCTTCCTCAATGAGAAAATGACTACCCAAAATATCAAATGTCACTGCTGCTATCTAACAGGACCGATGAAACAGAGCTATACTTAGTCTACAGGCAGGTAATACAAAAGGAAACAAGTCTACTTCATTCAACAGCAAACTTCCCTGTAAGCAAAATAACAATATTAATTATAATTGTTAATCATTGGACCATTGACAAAACTTGTTTGTTTGTTAACAATTCAGGTTATTGTACTGTATTGGGACAGGACCTGGAGTGTGTCCCTGTTATATAGTGTACTGTGTTGGGACAGGTCCTGGAGTGTGTCCCTGTTATATAGTGTACTGTGTTGGGACAGG